TATGCTATCAGTTCAATCTTTATCTTTTGTTGTTATTATGTCTAAGACCTGGTTACCTCACCATGACGTGACCTACCAAGCGGTAACTCTAAGGCACTTATTCAGAGACATACCGGTTGCAAGCATGTTAACTTACAATGAGTGAAATAGCCTCTGGAGCAATAGGGCAAACAGCGAGTAACCAGTCCTTTTCTAACACAATAGTCAGCATGTTCCTGCTAGATCACGGTTTCCTCTCATAAGTGTAATTATACGTGCCAGAGCAGTTAGGATGCTACAAGCATATATACTGGCAAATAGATTGTTAATGCATAGAGAAAACTACTTAATTTACCATACCCTTAAACAAAAAGTGCAAGTTTTTAAAGCCACTGTTTAATCTTACTATGTTACCATATTATTGAACGCTGTTGTGGCGCATGACTACACTCTGTACCCACCTGCACAATAAAAATAAAGAATTAAAAAAAAAAAAAAAAAAAATGCTTACATTTGAAATGAAAAAATTATAAGAAAAATTCTAAAAACAACCTGTAATACATAGTTAGTGATGTCCCAAACGGTTCGCCACGGATGGCGAACATATGCGCTGTTCGGTCCGCCCCCTATGTCATCATTGAGTAAAATTTGACCCTGTACCTCACAGTCAGCAGACACATTCCAGCCAATCAGCAGCAGACCCACCCTCCCACCTCCTGGACAGCATCCATTTTACATTCATTGTGAAGCTGCATTCTTAGTGAGCTGTCCAGAAGGTGGGAGGGTCTGGGAGGGAGGGTCTGCTGCTGATTGGCTGGAATGTGTCTGCTGACTGTGAGGTACAGGGTCAAAGTTTACTCAATGATGACATAGGGGGCGGACCGAACAGCGCATATGTTCGCCATCCTTGGCGAACCGTTCGGGACATCACTATACATAGTTCTTTGCATCTATGGGTTTATGGTAAAGTGTTCTTGTCTCAGGATTTTACATATAAAGTACCTTAATAAATCCTTCTTTCATAGAAACATAGAATGTGACGGCAGATAAGGACCATTCGGCCCATCTAGTCTGCCCAATTTTCTAAATACTTTCATTAGTCCCTGGCCTTATCTTATAGTTAGGATAGCCTCATACATATCCCACGCATGCTTAAACTCCTTTACTGTGAAAAGTATCTACATACTTTGTGTCATCTCTATGAGTATTAGTTACTATTCTGTTCTCTTACCTATTGTCACGGTTATCACCGCAACATACAGACAGCAAGACGTGGTAGCCCTGGAAGAGCCCAACAGGGGACTTGAACCTGTGGTCTTGTGCATTCCTCTGCCTCTGAACCACTTTCAGTTCTTTCAACTCAGCATAGAAAAATACATGATTATAAAAATTCAAGTGACAAGGTCTAGACTTATGGCATATTTACTACATAATTTTGTAAATGCAAATTGTGAAATACATAACTCTGCAAAATATTGTCATAAAACTATTTATCTATCTATTAGGATGTTGTAAGCTTCTTGGGTAATCGTCTGAAAGACATGAAAATGTTCGTTAGTATCCTATTAGATATTATTCCGTCTGGTTGTGTTAATCCATAGTTAACCTTTCATCTGCTGATACATTCACATAAGATCGGAGACTATGACATGGAGATACATCTGCATAGAACTTTAAACTCTATTACTACATCATAATAGTAAGACTTAAATTAAAGCCAGATATCCTCAACATACAAAATATAAAATAATAGCTTCTGACAAAGTACTAGCGCGCCCACTGAAATAAACTCTGTAGACACACTACAAAAAAAGATGCGTTCACATAAAGCACCGTTGCATATTAAAAGGAATGAAGAACTGAAGAATTTATACATAAAAATGCCTGCATTTATAACATAAAAATGTAAAAATCTAAAATCTAAAACGGCCTCTAGTATATAGTAATTTACACTTACGAATTTGTTGCAAAGTGTTCTTGTGTCTAGACTAAAGAACTAGAGTAATTTAATAAGTCTCCTTTGTAAATCAGCATGGAAAGAATACATGATTACAAAAACGTGAGTGACAAAGTCTAAACATATGACTTATTTTATACATAATATCTAAAAATGCTATTAGTAAAATGTTACTCTACAACAGTGTTTCCCAACCCAGTCCTCAAGGCACACCTACCAGTCCAGGATTTAGGGATTACCCAGTTGTGTCTAAGGTGTTTTTTTTCTTCTTTGTAAAAACACCTTAGACACAACTGGGTAATCCCTAAATCCTGGACTGGTAGGTGTGCCTTGAGGACTGGGTTGGGAAACACTGCTCTACAATATGTTATAATATATCTATTAATCCATTAAGATACCAAGACCTCCTTGGGTGGTCCTTTGAAAAACATAAACATGTTTGTTGGTATTCTTCATATTAGTTCTGATCTGCCCTATATGTTTTTGATCCTTTCAATAATCATTATCCCCTTTCCACTTATACATTGAAGCAGGAGGGGGTTAAGCAGATAGTGCTCTCATCTCGAACAGCTTAATATCATTTGGAGCACAGTAAATGCTTACATAAATAGCACTCATATCTAGGATTAAATAAATGAAGATTTAATGAAGAATTATGGAGAAAAAAATATCTAAGAATAATCTATAAAATATGGGGATGTATGTTTACAGAATTAGAACCAAGTTAGTTTCGCAATTAAACACCCATAAATCAGAATCTGAACAAACCAAATAAACATTATGAATAACATAATATGCACAATTGACCAATTTTATAATTTAGTTGCTTCATCAGATAGTAATTATGGTGTTTCTTTAGATTTTATCCTTTCTAAACCCAAACACCAAATATACAGGAAACAATATAGACGAAAGGATATGATAAAAATAGGTATATGTAATAATGAAAATACTATAGGACATATTGTTAAAAAAATGTAAAAATATAAAAAAAATATATATTAAAAAAAATATAAAAATACTTATTGCAATAGCCACTCTAGATAAAAATTATACTAAAAATCGCTTTAAAAAAATATATATATATTAAATAAATTTCTTTAGAAAAGGAGATGTTTGTGTCAGAGAAAAGCATTTAGTTTGAAATCAATATTCAACCCTAGTGGTTCCAAGGTATTAAGTTTGAAAATCCATTTGACTTCAGTTTTGTCAAGGGCTTTCTCTAGGTCTTCTCCTCTCCAGTGAACATTCACTTTTTTCAATAGCTAAAAACTCAAGACCCACTGGGTTATTTGAATGATAAGTGGAAAAATGTATAGAAAGGTTGTGGGTAGTTAACCCCTTCTTGATGTTTCGAATATGTTCTCCTAGCCTTGTTTTGAGTTTTCTTTTTGTCCTTCCTACGTAGTGTCTCCTACAATGACATGTGAGAAGATAACCCCGATAGAGTTACAGCTTAAGTTTGTTCTTATCTTGAAGTCTTCATCCCCTTTCATATTTTGAATTGTTTAATTACAGATGGTTGAGCTGGGTTATTCCTACAGCCTAGACAATTGCCACATTTATAAAAATCCACAGTCTCCAGATTGTCATTCTGTGTTCTAATTTCTTTTAACGTTGGAGCTAGTATGGTCTTGAGATTCGGTGCTCGTGAGTAGATGACCCTAGGTTTTTGATCCAAAATGGTGCCTAGTGTATTATCTCCCTTCAAAACTTTCCAATGTTTATTTAGAATATTTTTAATTTTCCCTGCTTGATTGCTGAACTGGGTTATAAACCCTGGGGTTTTAGTATCCACTTTTTGTGGTTCTTTTCTACTCTCCAGGGTTTCTTCTCTTGATAAATTGAGAGCTCTTTCCATTGCATTGGTCAGGTTGTCCTTATCGTATCCTTTCCTAAGGAATTGTACTTTCATCTCCTCCATTTGATTTTTGCAAATGTCCAACTCAGTACAATTGCGCCTAATGCACCTGAATTGTCCGTAGGGGATATTGTCAAGCCACGTCCTCTTATGATGACTATCTGAGGGGATGAAACTGTTACAGTCTACAGGTTTTTTGAATGTTTTGGTGTGGATCATCTCTTCCTTAATGTATATCTCCAGATCTAAAAATTCAACTGAAGTTTTGGAGTGGGTAAAGGAAAATGTAAGATTATAAGGGTTAAAATTTAAATACTTCTTAAAATCTTCAAGCGAGGATAGATCCCTTGATAGATCCCTCGCTTCATAGATATATGAAACCAAGGTGCTGCACTCACCTGAACATGCATAAATGGGGTGCTGCTGGGGACCTATTTACACAATACACAAGATCCAGCGCACTCACTTATCCGCTAAACAGCAACTTCAGGGAATTAGGTAGCAAACTTAAGAAAAGGACCTCCAAGGTGGTATTCTCTGAGATATTACCTGTGCCACACGCTACAGTGGAAAGGCAGCGGAAGTTTAGAGAGGTCAATGCGTGGCTTAAGTCTTGGTGCAGGTTTTTTGAGCACTGGGCCGACTTTGCGATTGGGTACAACCTTTAAAGTAGTGATGGATTGCACCTAAACAGGAGAGGGTCTGCAGTGCTTGGGGATAGGATGGCTAGAAGGTTGGAGGAGATTTTAAACTAGTAGTAGGGGGGAGGGGCATAGCAATCTACAAAACGGAGATAGGACAGAAAGGAGCAGGGCCGGACTGGGAAAAAAACTAGGCCTGGGCATTTTTCAATCAGAGCGGCCCCCTAAGAAGGGGGCGGGGCCAGAGAGGTTGTGTTTTGTCATCACTAATGACAAGCACGCCTCCTCTCAAAGTGAGCATGTTGGTTCAATGAGCAGAGCTGCGCTGAAGAGCTCTGGCATTAGAAAAAGACCCTGTATTTGTTCTGCGCAGCGCAAGCAAATTTAATAACATGCTTGCGCTGTGTTTGCTTTTAAATTGTCTCTGGTGTCTCAACAAGTGGGATACCAGAGGACAAAAGGGCCAGGAAAGTGTATGGTGCATGTGTTTGGAGCCTGCTTGTGGGATTGCGTGTGTGTAGAGTGTGGTGTGGTGTTGTGTAAATAGGTCAATTTCATTTGTGTTTGTGGTGTAATATGTGTGGCTAGGGGCTGTAGAGAGTGTGTGTATAGGGGGCATAGTGTTATAGGGGATGTAGCGAGTGTGTGCATACGGGCTGTAGTGTGTGTGTGTATAGGTGACGTAGTGTGTGTAGGGGTTGTAGAGAGGGTGTGTTTAGAGAATGTTGTATGTGTTTGCTGACAAGGAATGTAGTGTGTGTGTAGGTGGTGCAGTGTGTGTGTAGGAGATCTAGTGTGTAAAGGACCCAGAGTGTGTATAGGAGATTGTGTGTGTGTGTGTGTGTGTGTGTGTGTGTATAGAGGATTAAGAGTGCATGTGTGTGTCTGGGTGTGCTGTGTGTGTCTGGGGGTGCTGTGTGTTTCTGGGTGCTGTGTGTGTCTGGGGTGCTGTGTGTGTGTGTGTGTGTGATTTTTTTAATTTAAATTAAATTTTTTTTTATTAATAATAATAATTTTAAAAGTTATATCCCCCCCCTCCCTTCTTACCTTTAGCCTGGGAGGGGGGGGAACCGTTTTGCCTGGGACGGGGGGGAGCCGTTCTGCCATGGGAGAGCCATGCTGCCTGATCCCTGGTGGTCCTAGTGGTGAGCGTGAACTCTAGCCTGTAGGCTAGAGTTCACTCTCGCGAGATCCGAGCGTTGCCGCGGTAACCGCGGCAACCCTCAGAATCCCACGAGAGGACCCGACGGAGCTGCTGGATAGAGCTCCGCCGGTCCTCTCCTCCCTCCCTCCCCAGCCGGCAGCCGCCTGGAAGTGTCTCTGAGATCTTTGATCTCCCCACCGGCCCATGGAGACACACAGCAGGGCCGGCGCTCGGTCACAGTGCTGGCCCTGCAGGAGCCGGCCGGGGAGATCCTGTGATCTCCCCTGCCGGCCTCGGCCCCACGGCCATCGCGGCCCACCGGGCATTTGCCCGGTATGCCCGATAGCCAGTCCGGGCCTGGAAAGGAGATGGGCTTTAGCACAGTATAAGGGGGTGGAGACCGAGGGTGGGGCAAGCTCAGAACAGAGAAGCTGTGTAATGTTGAAAATTCACAAAATATACAAGTGACACATAATATTAAATGTATGCTTACTAATGCAAGGAGCCTAAATAACAAAATGGGGGAACTAGAGGCAGTAGCATACACTAAACAATATGATATAATAGACATAACAGAAACATGGTGGGATGAGACACATGACTGGACAGTTAACTTAAATGGGTACATGTTTAGGAAGGATAGGAAAAACAAGAAGGGTGGTGGGGAATGTTTGTATGTCAACCATGATTTAATGAAGTGGTCTGGGGGCCAGGTCCCTCTAGGATTAACCCTTTTTTTTATAAACATAGCAGTTTCAGAGAAACTGCTATGTTTATAATAGGGTTAATCCAGCCTCCAAAGCCTCTCATTGACAGCCGCTAGAGGCGCTTGCGTGGTTCTCACTGTGAAAATCACAGTGAGAAGACGCAAGCGTCCATAGGAAAGCATTGTAAATACTTTCTTATGAGACCGGCTGAATGCGCGTGCAGCTCCTGCCGCGCATGCGCATTCAGCCGGAGAGGAGGATCGGAGGAGGAGGAGAGCTCCCCGCCCGGCGCTGGAAAAAAGGTAAGTTTAACCCCTTTCCTCTCTCCAGAGCCCGGCGGGAGTGGGACCCTGAGGGTGGGGGCACCCTCAGGGCACTATAGTGCCAGGAAAACGAGTATATTTTCCTGGCACTATAGTGGTCCTTTAAGCAAGTGGAATGCGATGAGGAAAATGTGGAAGCTTTATGGGTAAATATCTGCTTGGGGGAAAAGTAGGGAAACCAACTATTGGTTGGGATATGTTATAAACCATCTAATGTTAATATTGACGAGGAACAACAGCTGTTTGAGCAAATTGAGAAAGCTGCAAATCTGGGTAACACTTTAATTATTGGAGATTTTAATTACCCGGGCATAAATTGGGACAGAGGGACTAGTAGCTCAGCAAAGGGAATTAGGTTTTTAAACTTGTTAAATTACACCTTCATGTCACAACTTGTACAAGCACCAACTAGAATGGATGCTTGTCTGGACCTGGTTTTAACAAACAACGTTGATCTTTTGACCAACATTCAAGTAGGTGAGCACTTGGGAAATAGTGATCACAACATAGTGTCCTTTGAAATAAACTCAAAAAAACAAAAGCATATGGGGTATACTAAAACATATAATTTTAAAAAGGCCAATTTCAATAAGTTAAAGGCAGCTTTACAATATATTGACTGGCATAAACTCTTTAGTGAAAGAACACTGACTGAGGATAAATGGATCATCTTCCAACAAATATTAGAAAGGTACATTTCTCAGTATGTACCTTTGAAAAATAAATATAAAAGAAACAAATTAAAACCAATGTGGCTTACTAGAGAAGTAAAACAAGAGATTAAAAATAAGAAAAGGGCATTTAAAGCATTTAAATCGGACAAAGCAAATGCATCTTATAAAAGATATAAGGAAGCAAATAATGTGAATAAGGAATGCAAAAAAGGCAATTAGATTTGTTAAACTTCAAAATGAAAAAATGATAGCTAAAGAGAGCAAAACCAACCCCAAAGCATTTTTTAAGTACATAAATTCTAAAAAACCCAAAAATGAAAGTGTAGGTACACTAAAAACTGAAATGGGGGTGTTAGTTAATGAAGACCAGGAAAAGGCAGGAATTTTAGATAACTATTTCTCCTCCGTATATATTAAGGAAGAACCCACGGCAATAGATGTGCAAATGATTGCTACTAAAAACTTGCAGAATAATTGCAATTGGTTAACTCAAGACAAGGTGCTGCAGCAACTAAAGAAAGTTAATATAAACAAAGCTCCAGGGCCTGACGGTATCCATCCACGAGTACTTAAGGAACTAAGTGTGGAAATAAGTGAACCTCTGTTTTTAATCTTTCAAGATTCTTTTCTTTCAGGAAGTGTTCCGGAGGATTGGAGGAAGGCAGATGTGGTTCCTATATTCAAAAAGGGTTCAAAATCCTTGCCTGGTAATTATAGACCTGTAAGCTTAACTTCTGTTGCTGGGAAAATATTTGATAGGTTATTGAGGGATAATATTCAAGAATTCCATGAGAAGAACATGGTTATCAGCAAAATTCAGCACGGTTTTATGAAGCACAGGTCATGTCAAACTAACTTGATTGCGTTTTACGAAGAAGTAAGTAGAAGTATAGTTCAGGGTGTTGCAGTGGATGTGATCTATTTGGATTTTGCCAAGGCATTTGATACAGTTCCACACAATAGATTAGTGTTCAAACTCAAGGAAATTGGTCTAGATGAAAATCCTTGTTCTTGGGTAGAACACAGGGCCGGACTGGCCCACCGGGATACCGGGAAATTTCCCGGTGGGCCGTCGGCACCTGGGGCCGGCTCACCTGCGGCCGCAGAGGGAGCTCTTTCGGCGGCCGCAGGGTTTGCTGGCTGTTTTGGCGGCTGCAGGGGGAGCTGGCTGTTTTGGCGGCCGCAGGAGGAGCTGGCTGTTGTGTCTCTGCTCCCCCTCCCCTGCGCGCCGCTTAATGAGACCGGGGCCGGAACATGACGTCATATTCCGGCCCCGGTCTCTTTGTAGTGCGCTGGGGAGGGGGAGCAGAGACACAATAGCCAGCTCCCCCTGCAGCCGCCAAAACAGCCAGCTCCCCCTGCGGCCAGAACAGCCAGCAAACCCTGCGGCCGCCATCAGAACTCCCCATGCCAGCACACAGGTAGAAATTATGTCACTGTGAGTGTATGTGTCTGTGTCATTTGTGTGTGTGTCTGTGTCATTTGTGTGTGTGTCTGTCATGGTGTGTCTGTGTCATTGTGAGTGTGTGTCTGTCTGTGTCATTGTGAGTGTGTGTCTGTCTGTGTCATTGTGAGTGAGTGTGTGTGTCTGTCATTGTGAGTGTGTGTGTCTGTCTGTGTCATGGTGTGTGTGTCTGTCTCTGTCTGTCATGGTGTGTGCGTCTGTGTCATGGTGTGTGTCTGTCTGTCATGGTGTCTGCGTCAGTCTGTCACGGTGTCTGCGTCAGTCTGTCACGGTGTCTGCGTCAGTTTGTCACAGTGTCTGCGTCTGTGTCATGGTGTGTGTGTGTCTGTCTGTCATGGTGTCTGCGTCAGTCTGTCATGGTGTGTGCGTCTGTCTGTGTCATTGTGTGTGTGTGTCTGTCATGTAATGTGTGTCTGTGTCACGGTCTGTCTGTGTCATGTGTGTCTGTCTGTGTCATGTAATGTGTGTGTGTGTCTATGTCACGGTGTGTGTGTGTCTGTGTCACGTGTGTGTCTGTGTCATGGTCTCTCTGTGTCGTGGTGTGTGTCTGTGTGTCATGTAATGTGTGTCTGTGTCACGGTGTGTATGTGTCTGTGTCACGGTCTGTCTGTGTTATGGTGTGTGTGTCAAGGTGTGTATGTCTTTTTTAAGGTATGTGTCTGTCATGCTATGTGTGTGTCTCTGTGTCATGGTGTGTGTGTGTGTCTCTGTCATGGTGTGTCTGTGTTTTCTGTCTGTGTCACGGTGTGTGTGTGTGTGTGTCTGTGTAACGGTCTGTCTGTGTCATGGTGTGTGTCTGTCATGGTATGTGTGTGTGTGTGTGTGTTTTTACTCACCTTTTTTTTCCCCCACGTTGTGCTGGTCTCCCCTCGACTGGCCCTGCCTCTATGGCTGAGATTATCAAGCTTGATGATCTCAGCCAATCCGCACTGACACAGGAAGCACCTCTAGTGACCGTCTGAGTGTCTGTCACTAGGAAGCAATGTAAACACTGCATTTTCTCTAAAAAGTCAGTGTTTACATTGAAAAGCTGTGTGTGTGTGTGTGCGCACATGCTAGTGAGTGGGCTTGCGTGTGTGTGTGTGTGTGCCTGTGAGTGAGCTTGTGTTTATGTCAATGACCTTATGTATATCAGTGAGATTGTTTTTCTATGAGGCTGTGTATCAATCAGCTTGTGTCAGTGAGATTGTCTGTGTCTGCATGTGAGTATGCTTACTCTGAAAGGACCAATATTTTATATTGGAAAAAGCAATATATATATATATATATATATTTATAATCTATCAATCATCTAGGGTGGCAAGACATAGACTTACATATAACATGCGACAATATAAGGCACAATGACTTATGGGGCTGGCATAGATTTTTTTTTTCCAGGGCTGCTTTGGAATCCCCAGTCCGGCCCTGGTAGAACATTGGCTTAAAAACAGAGTACAAAGAGTTGTCATTAATGAAAGTCATGTTTCAGTGTTTGAAGATGACACAAAACTCTGTAAAGTTATTGAGCAAGATATTAATTTGCTG